AAGCTGGCAGACATTAATATTTTAACATTTTAACCTTTACCTGCAGCTCTTTGAAAACATGTTTTATGAAATATTCTACATAGATAAAGTGGGTTGGATGATGCTGACGCCATTCTCTTTTCTCGCCCAGAAACTACGGTCTGAATGTTAACTTGGTCCTTGGTCCTTGGTTTTTGGTCTTTCTTAGTCCTTAGTCCTTGGTCCCACTGGGTTTTTGTGAGTTTTTCCTCTGATGCAGGAGTCTGTTTGGCAGTTAGTGTCCAACTGGAAGGACTGTGATGATCCAGGACACTTAAATATTCTACAACATGTATGACATTTATCAACATATGTGTTCTATATTTTTTCTTGTATTGGTCCTTGGTCCTTTTTGTCCTTGGTCCTTGGTCCTTGAGGTCCTTGAGATGTTTGAAGCCCTTGGTCCTTGAAGTACTTGGTCTTTAGTCCTAGGTCCTTGGTCCCAGTGCCCTCTCTCTCCTCCGTGTGATAGAGCAGTGTTCATAATGAAAGGGCTGTAAGGTCACAGATAAGGGCCTGCTGCTGTCACTCACCCTCTGCCCGCTGGAAAGTGCTGCATTCTGACGACATGACAGCCGCAGAGTCAGGACTTTTGCTCAGATCACGAAGCCAGAATGAGAGATTGAATCGGGTGTTCCTCAAAGTGCTTGTGTCACCGCAGTGAGATTACATATTGGCCCTTTCACTAACCCCGACATCCACTCAGCGCGGCATCTGATAACACTTCAAGAGCCATTGGGCATTAGCATTTTTGGGAGAAAGTACTGTAGCGTGGAGAAAGAATTCAACCCTCATGTAAAAATATATTCAGAGTTTTAATTGGACAAAGTGTGCAAAATAATAATATTAAAGTCTAATACAATGAGTCATGGCTTTGTTTACTTAACCACGAGCCACAATGTCCAGTTGTTAGTGACATGTTGGACATAATTAGGCTGACAATCCTCCCTAATTTTAACTTCTAATTTGTTTTGATCGTTGCCCGCAGACTCGTCACATAGAGCTTCCTGTCTTCGCCCTTAAACCGCTTTTCAGCAGCTAATCTCAAGGCTATGCTTTGACCTGCATCACATACACATCTCCATCCATCCATCCATCCATCCATTTTCTACCCTTTAATCCATTTCTGGGTCAGGGGGGTGGCAGTCAGAGATGCCACCCAAGTCTCATAGCACCAGCCCCTCACTGACCCTCTGCAGGTGGTGAGTCCACAGGAGGACGGCTGCTCTCTGAGTGTGAGCATAGCCTTGATCTTTCAGTATCTCCACATCATATAATATTTACCTGTGTGATTGACAGCCTTTAGCCCCGGTTAGGTTGAATACCAGCGGCCAATCAGCAGAGGGCATGTTTCTTTTTTGTTCCAACTTGAACCACCACCAAGGTCGATTTTCTACCGAGTTGTTTTGTGTGTGTGTGTGAATGTGTGTGGGGCTTCATTTCGCCGACTTGGTGCAAGCGTGGCAAGGTCAACATGTTGTGATCCAGCTGGCAACGACTACACAAATCAGAGGTGCTGAACCCTTTTTTTTTGGACCATGTTACAGCAGTGATGTTGGCTGCTGGCTCTAGCTCTACATCAGACACTGAGAGGAGAAGGGGGAGGAAGGGGGTAGTGCAGCCTCAAAAGCACCCCACTGCTCCCTAGTGGACACACACACATGAATAAACATATACACACACATCGGCGTCATTCTCGCCGTTCAACTTTTGACATGAGAGCTCTGGGCTTTTAGGCTGGATTGAAATGCAGATGTCTGGAGACGGTGGTGGGAATAGAGCCAGGGCTTTCAACTGGGCACAATTCGCTCACAAAGGCATTACAGATCTCCGTGTCAGCGATTGTATTTTTATTACAGATTACAAAAGCCCACAGTTTATGCTGATGACAAGCTTGAGCTCAGCAAGGCCTGAACTAAATGAGACAGGGGTCCTCAAAATGGCTCTGGTCCGCGTGGCATGGCTTAAACTGGGGGTCACAAGATCAATGTGATGATTATAGAACTGTATTTAGTCAATTATTTGATTAACAAACGCTGTATTCTACGAAGGATGAGGTCAAATAACTCAAGACGTGACCGAAACAAGCCACAAGATTTTAAATTATTCAGCCTTTCAAGTGTTTTACATGGTGAGGGTGAGTCCGGCTTATTCCTGTGTATTGTAGGGGTTAGCTCCATTCATTTGAAGAGTGCATTCAAAAGTCCACAGCGGCTAAACTAGACTGGTCCAAAAAAACACTCCCCTCAGCATTGACAGCATCTGGAACCAAGAGCCACTTTTGAGTCATCATGTACAGACATTTTAAAGAGGAAGGAAGACGTGGTACAAAAGCATTGGGTAATTCTGTTTCCGGGTACACCCCCACGAACAAGGATTGAGATTGCAGCATGTCAGCGCACATGCTCATGGACCTTTTGGAGCCGGAACCCGCCCCAACTGGATTTCATACTATAGCACAAAATACAGGAATACATGCTGTTATGCTAACTAAGCTAGAAGCATTGCTAACAAACACAAATCTGAAAGAGCAGCGTCCTGCAGCTTTGTGGGTTGCTTTTGTCTGTTGTTTTTTCATTTGCTAAAGATTTTTTCAAGTAGCATAATTATTTTTATTGCAATTTAAGGAGTATCGTTAATTATCGTTATTGCGAGTTCAATGTACAACAAAAGCACCAGAGACAATCAAAGCAGAATCACAGTAATTATCGGAGAGTTATTCGTACGAAGCCATGATGTTTGCAGTGGAGAGAATCATACGGATCAACAAGACGTTATTGGCTATGGTGCTGACCTTCTAAAGAATCAAGAAGTCAATCTATAAGTAACGCACTGTGGACTCCTTCTATCAATGCAATTAACAAACAAGACAAAAAATATTTAAAAAGCGACTGGAGCGACAGTGGCTCAATTGGTAGAGCATTAGGCTCTGGGCCTGAAGGTCATGGGTTTGATCCCGCCACGAGACATTCTCCCACTGCTCCCACTCATGTCTGCTGTTGTTGTGTCCCTTGGCAAGACACTTAACCCCTCATTGCCTGAAGCCCCCGCTGAAACACCAAGGCTGTTTCACGGCTGACAGAGCAGCCATCTTTCTGCGGACTCAGCACCTGCCGGAGGATGAGAGGGACTGGTTCTGTGAGCATTGGGTGCAGCTCTGATTGCCAACCCCCCAACCCAGAAATGGATTGGAAAATGAATTAATGAATACAACATTTAAAAGCAAAGGTATTCTCATGTTCCTCTTGTTCACCTTGTAATCAGGAAACTATGGACGACCATCTCACCCTTATATCATACTACACCGAGCCGGCGTGTCTGCTTCTTCTGGCTGCTTTCTGAGGTAAGTACATCAGCACGCCATGGCAACGGGGGATTTTACGGTGATGACAAAGGTTATGTTCTGTGTGGTATCTCCTACAAAGAGCGGAGCAGGTAAGTGGATTAAGGTGACCCTGCCCGGAATGTGGATGTCCAGAGGCCGACAGAAGGTCAGGGAGGAGGTAAACAGACAAAAACAGAAAAGAGGAGAAAGGGGCTTCAGATCTAACTGTGTGTGTGTGTGTGTGTGTGTGTGTGTGTGTGTGTGTGTGTGTGTGTGTGTGTGTGTGTGTGTGTGTGTGTGTGTGTGTGTGTGTGTGTGTGTGTGTGTGTGTGTGTGTGTGTGTGTGTGTGTGTGTGCAATGTGCGTGACTCGACAAAAGGGAACAATAAATCCTGAAGTGAGCGCAATATATATTTAAATCTGTTTACATTGGGGCTTATGCTACGAAGCAATAAAACTCCAACTTCAGCTGAGTAAAGATTCTGAGGGATATGATAATGCTCCTGTATATTTCAGGGATAATACTCTGCAAAAGGGAAGTGAACTCAGTGTGTGGGGTGTAATTATATCAGCCAAAGCAGACACAGGATAAATACTTATTAGCTCTCTTTTGTGTTTAGCTTAATTTGTTAAAGGTGTGTGTGATGATGTTCGCTAGTGTTCTCTATTCTCCATCACACACGTTTTTAAAGGTAAATGGGGGGATTTTCTTCTTCCGGGTGGATCATCTAGAGCAGGGATATCAAACCGGTTCCAGAAAGGGCCGGTGTGGCTGCAGGGGTTAGTACCAACTTGAGCAGAAAAACACCAGACTCCACCCATTTCCTCAAGTCTTCAGGTTAAACCTGGACTCACCTGAGGAAATGGGTGGAGTCTGGTGTGCTCCTGCTCAGGTTGGAGCTAAAACCTGCAGCCACACTGGCCCCTTGAGGACTGGTTTGACACCCCTGATCTAGAGCAAGGATGTCAAAGTCAAATACACCAGAGGCCGAAAAACTAATTTTCTACAAGCCGAGGGCCCGACTGGTTTAAAACATGTAAAAATGATTGTATATAATCTCATGAACTAGACCTAACACAGTGGACCAAACTGCAATTAACAATTAAATTAGTACACCAATATTATTGTGTGGCTCTGTCGGTCATTTCAAGTAAAAAAAAAAAAAAAAACATTTTCCAACAGCTCAGAGACAAAAACATAATTCCTTCAAAGAGAAAACACATATCCTGAACATAAAATTAATTCTCCAATATTTTCTTTTGTCTCTGTGCGGCCGGTTCTAATACTAATCAAATCAAATCAATCATCCAGGGGCGGCCAAAATTGTTCGTTTGCGGGCCTGATCTGGCTCGCGGGCCTTGACTTTGACACCTATGATCTAGAGACTATTGGTCCTTCTAATTGTCAATCATTCTGGTGAGACACGTTTTAATACTCCTCCCATTTATCTGTAATATAAAAAATTTCATTTACATTAGCTGGAACTGCATCTACGTTGATAAAACCATTTGAAAATACTACATGTCCAATGCAAAGCACACAGAAATACACAATTTTTTATTATGAAACTAGTACATCACAATGTATCATTCTGCAGTAATATCACAATCATGAATGGATGATGTTGGATTGAGGGGAAGCAGAAGCACCTGTGCCTTAGAAGCGATTGAGACAGGACTTGATCAGAGCTTCCCTGGATGCTCTCGGCTGCTCCTCCCTGAGATAAGAGTCTGAGGAGCCACTGGGGACGCTCTGCTCCCAACTCTCAATACAATCTCTCAATCCACTGAGCAGGCGCCATAACACACTCCTGATCCACCGAGCAGGCGCCATAACACACTCCTGATCCACCGAGCAGGCACCATAACACACTCTCAATCCACCGAGCAGGCGCCATAACACACTCCTGATCCACCGAGCAGGCGCCATAACACACTCCTGATCCACCGAGGAGGCGCCATAACACACTCCTGATCCACCGAGCAGGCGCCATAACACACTCCTGATCCACCGAGGAGGCGCCATAACACACTCCTGATCCACCGAGCAGGCGCCATAACACACTCCTGATCCACCGAGCAGGCGCCATAACACACTCCTGATCCACCGAGCAGGCGCCATAACACACTCCTGATCCACCGAGCAGGCGCCATAACACACTCCTGATCCACCGAGCAGGCGCCATAACACACTCCTGATCCACCGAGCAGGCGCCATAACACACTCCTGATCCACCGAGCAGGCGCCATAACACACTCCTGATCCACCGAGCAGGCACCATAACACACTCTCAATCCACCGAGCAGGCGCCATAACACACTCCTGATCCACCGAGCAGGCGCCATAACACACTCCTGATCCACCGAGGAGGCGCCATAACACACTCCTGATCCACCGAGCAGGCGCCATAACACACTCCTGATCCACCGAGCAGGCGCCATAACACACTCCTGATCCACCGAGCAGGCACCATAACACACTCTCAATCCACCGAGCAGGCGCCATAACACACTCCTGATCCACCGAGCAGGCGCCATAACACACTCCTGATCCACCGAGGAGGCGCCATAACACACTCCTGATCCACCGAGCAGGCGCCATAACACACTCCTGATCCACCGAGCAGGCGCCATAACACACTCCTGATCCACCGAGGAGGCGCCATAACACACTCCTGATCCACCGAGCAGGCGCCATAACACACTCCTGATCCACCGAGGAGGCGCCATAACACACTCCTGATCCACCGAGCAGGCGCCATAACACACTCCTGATCCACCGAGCAGGCGCCATAACACACTCCTGATCCACCGAGCAGGCGCCATAACACACTCCTGATCCACCGAGCAGGCGCCATAACACACTCCTGATCCACCGAGCAGGCGCCATAACACACTCCTGATCCACCGAGCAGGCGCCATAACACACTCCTGATCCACCGAGCAGGCGCCATAACACACTCCTGATCCACCGAGCAGGCGCCATAACACACTCCTGATCCACCGAGCAGGCGCCATAACACACTCCTGATCCACCGAGCAGGCGCCATAACACACTCCTGATCCACCGAGCAGGCGCCATAACACACTCCTGATCCACCGAGCAGGCGCCATAACACCTCCTGATCCACCGAGCAGGCGCCATAACACACTCCTGATCCACCGAGCAGGCGCCATAACACACTCCTGATCCACCGAGCAGGCGCCATAACACACTCCTGATCCACCGAGCAGGCGCCATAACACACTCCTGATCCACCGAGCAGGCGCCATAACACACTCCTGATCCACCGAGCAGGCGCCATAACACACTCCTGATCCACCGAGCAGGCGCCATAACACACTCCTGATCCACCGAGCAGGCGCCATAACACACTCCTGATCCACCGAGCAGGCGCCATAACACACTCCTGATCCACCGAGCAGGCGCCATAACACACTCCTGATCCACCGAGCAGGCGCCATAACACACTCCTGATCCACCGAGCAGGCGCCATAACACACTCCTGATCCACCGAGCAGGCGCCATAACACACTCCTGATCCACCGAGCAGGCGCCATAACACACTCCTGATCCACCGAGCAGGCGCCATAACACACTCCTGATCCACCGAGCAGGCGCCATAACACACTCCTGATCCACCGAGCAGGCGCCATAACACACTCCTGATCCACCGAGCAGGCGCCATAACACACTCCTGAAAACTAACACAAACTTCTACTGCATATTGGACACACCAGTGGTTTCCCACAGATCCTGCTCCATAGTTGGAGAATGATAGATAGAGAGAGACAGAGAGAGAGAGAGGGAGACATAGCTAGATATATATAGAGAGAGAGAGAAATAGCTAAAGAGAAATATGTATATAGCGAGAGAGAGAGAGAGCGAGAGAGAGAGATATATAGAGAGACAGAGAGTTAGCTAGAAAAAGAGAGAAAGAGAGTGCGAGAGAGAGAGAGAGAAATAGCTACAGAGAGATATGTACTGGAGATAGAGAGATATATAGAGAGAGAGACAGAGAGAGAGAGAGAGAGTTAGCTAGAAAAAGAGAGAGAGAGAGTGCGAGAGAGAGAGAGAGAGAGAGAGATTGAGACAGAGGGATAGATCCTCGCGGAGAGGACCATGAATCGATCCGGTCTGGACCAGTGCAAAACCATAAGATAGACTGATATGACTAGTGATTATTGACTAAAGGTTATAAATGTAAACAGAAAATACAATTAACCAAATAAACATTATTGCTTGTACCAATATTTACGCCAAAATGTTTGTGCAATGCCGCAAACACCCATGTTGGAAACAGACACGGGGAGAACATGCAAACTCTAACCACACAGCCAAATTAATATGAAAAATCTGAATTGACAATAACTTTATACATTTTTACAGCTTTACCCAAAACATAAACAGAATATTGCGTTGTAAATCGACTGCCTTTGTACCTGTTTTTTGACTTGGCAACCAAAGCACGGGTCCATACGTAGCTATGTCACGACATTCAATTATAGATCCATACAAAGCCCCCGCTTGCTTTTACGGCGAGCGTTCTCTGCGGGACAGGAGCGGGGGCTGGGCGAGGCGCTGAAGTGGCTGAGCGTGCCGTAAGAAGCCGCTCGGCCCTGGCCTTTGGGGGCGTATCATATCCCATTAAGAGAGCTTTGTCCCGTGATGAGGATGCTGCTGGCGCCCCTCGACAATCCCATTACAGATCATAAAGGGAGCTGGGGAAGTGGCCTGAGAGCTCTCCGGTCTGATCCCAGCCCCGGACCCCACGCTCGTGTGTATTGCGCCCAACGCCACTTCAGCTGATGGCGTTTTAACTTCGGGGGAATGATGGGAGATCCGTGTTATGGCGGTGGTTGTGGTCAGGAAAACACTATTCTGTTTTCATTCATGTGCCGACAATCATTTCCCGCATGTAACGTCTGGGTCTGGTCCCTGTGTTTGTGATTACAATCAGTTGAATTCAATCCGACCAATCAGAGAGCGCGGGAGGCGGGTGTTGTAGTTAGTTGTGGGTGACGTCAAAAGTTTGCGCCGAACGGGCAGGTTGTAGTTTGGCGAAGAATGCGTTAGTAAAGAATTCTGGTCTGGTTCTATCAAGAAATTGAAGCCGGAGCAAGAGGAAAGTTTAACAAATGTAATCGCTGCAAAGATTGTGGCGCTACTCCGCACGGGCTCCGTTAGCGGCAAAGGAGATGGCTAAAGCTAGGCTAAATGCTAACGACTCACTCGGGCTCATTACATACGTCACGGTAAACTCAGATCCAATGGTTTCAATCTGCAAAAGGAGTTAACCCCTCCCACCTGTCAATGGAGCAAATCCAGACCTTAGTACTGAATGTAATTTGTACAAAGGTACGACCAGGCTACTTCTATGGACAAGTGTTGCAAATTAGCCTGGTCTCGATATAACACTAAAGGCAGTGCATCTGGTCTTTCCAATGTAACTGTTGTGTCCACATCAAATAAATAAAATAAATACATTATCAAAATGTGAAATTCTGCATTTAATCATGAAATGTTATATGAAGGTGTTTTAATATGATGTGTGAGTGAGGTCAGTGAGTTTAATTTGCAGTAGACTAAAGTCAGTGAGTTTAATCTACTGCAAATGGCAAATAAATGAATCTGAATCTAGAGCAAAACAATGGACAGCCTTGGAGTGTTCTTTTCAGAGAGGGAAGTCTTGCTTATCCCACCGGACAGGAGATGAGACCGGACCAGACCAGACCCAGACCAGGCTCTCTGGTTTCATAATACACACTTTCATAAAACTGTTTTGAACGACATAGTTAGTCTGAGTCAGGGACAGAGAGAGGACTTCACAGAGAACCTGGGAGTCTTCTCATTACATTTTCAGGCCTGGACTAAGTAAGTACAGTATGTAAGTAATGGTTATTTCTATAGCACATTTTACAGACCAAGGTCACCCAAAGCACTTTACAAAGTTCAAAGTTCATTGCTTGAATCATTCCACACACGGTGAAGACAGAAGCGAGACGCCGAAGGGACAGTTATAGCTCAGATAATAAGGTTAGACAGGGGAGTTTTGTATTAGTTTTTAATTGCAACAGACAGACAGACAGACAGACAGACAGACAGACAGATAGACAGATAGACAGATAGATAGATAGATAGATAGATAGATAGATATACTATTTATTTATTTATTTATTTATTTAATCTTTAATTCAGACACACAAAGGGTCCATATAAAACATATAAAACAAAAGATATAGATAGATAGATAGATAAAAAACCATTAACCATATCTATAAAAAAGATCATTAATTATGTTTTATCTGAACTCTTGAAAATCTTGGTCTTCTTTTCTGGTCAAATTCTGAATAACGTCCTCAAAAGATTGAATTGGTCCAATGGGTTTTGGCTGAGCATGTGTCAGAGTGGAGGATGGTGTGAGCCGAGCTTAGTGCAGCTGGTTCAGTGGAGAGAGGAGACCATGGCTTTATCCTGTTTCCCAAACGCTTCGGTCTTCCGTCTTTGCTGCATTGGGAGTTTCCATCTTTCTGCCAGCTGGCCATATTAGAACTCATAAATCAATTTAAAGAGGTCCAGAAGGGCTCCTAAGGAAATGGAGTCTTAAGATGTATGTTTTAAACCGCACTCATTACGCCTTGCTTTAATCAATATCTATTTTTATGAAGGTCTTCATTAAAAAATGTGCATATATGTTCCTGCAGGAGGCATAAAACATAAGCAATGTAATGTTTGAGAGGCGATGAATATACACCTCTAGTGGCCAGAATGCACATTACACACACACGTGGGATAAGGGGTGTTGTTTTACGGCGTGCAGAGGGATTACAGATGGACACTAGCTGTAAGATAGGGATGTGTACTGTCTGTGTGCCAAATAAATCTATAAAATATAAAAAAAAGAACTTAAATAAAATAAATAAAATAACTACAAAATTAAATAAATAAAAATAACTAAAAAAAATAAAATAAAAAATAAAATAAAATAAATACAATAAATGAAATAAATAAAATAAATGAAATAAATAATAAAAACAATAAAAAAATAAATACAACAAAAAAATCGAAATCACTGAAAATCAAAACATACAAATTAAACATATAAAAAATAACATAAATGAGATAAACACATTGAAAAAACTAATTTTCTTAAAAAACGTCTCTTTAACATGAACTGGACTGAAAAGACGGACTGGAGTATTTCTTATCATAACTATTTTGAATAAAACTTAATAATCTATCAATTCTCAAACATAAAAATTCCAAAAGTCATAAAAACCACAACCATCTCCATATTTTTCATGAAATGCTAAAACCAGCTACAGACAAAGCTCCACAGACTTTCACATTCAGATCAGGAGCAGCACACTTTGCTCTGAGCTAAACTCCGGCACCAAGGCCCTCCATAAGCGTCCCCATTAATCAAACAGGCATATCCACTTTTTTATTCCCGGCCTTATTTTTTTTCAAGAACAAGCAAGTGACAAAAATAACATCAAGGAAGCCGCATAAACATTCTTCTCCAAACAAGAATGACTGAATTTCACCTTGAAATGGTCTCATTAACAAAACACTGGGACAAGAGTGACAAATAAAAGCCACGGCGATCCAAGATGGCGCCGCATTCATATGAATGGTTTGTGCTCAGTGGCGCTTTGTGCCGACACTGGCGCTGACAAATTAGCGGAACTCGCCTGGAACTCTCTGTATTTGGGCATCGTCTGGTCCTCCCACTTCTGTGCAGTGGGTGATCTCCCATAATGCTTTGCGCCAAATACGCGTGTGTGGCTCTCATGCACGTGCACAGAGGGGCTCGGCCGCGCTTTGACCGATCAGAGGACAGCGTTCCGACCAATCACAGCTGCTGATTAGAGCGGGAGTTAGAGCGAGAGCCCGACGGGCAGAGTTTGTGGCAGTAAAGTGTGGATTTAAAGAAAACCGACGGATTTAAGAAGAAAAAAAGTTCAGGATGATAAGGGACACTAAAATCCCCACAAAATCCGACCTTTATGAAAGCTGGAGGTTCTCTGTCAGGTTCTCTGTCAGCTGAGCTCGAGCTGTTTTAGTTTACATTGAGTTCTATGGGGAACACTTCTGGGTAGCCCACATGAATTTAGTCTGGTTTAGTCTGGTTTAGTCTGCAGTACCGCGAGAATCCCCCGAGCACATGGTTCTTCAGCTCCAAGCTAGTAACACCCCGTCCAGTTATTATAATAGATCCATGGACAAATACTGTACCATCACCTGCATTGTTTATTTTTGATGTATTTGTATTTATTCATTTATTTGACAGGGACATTGCAACATAGAACAAAACAAGCTTTTAACGTATGCAAATAGTTTATAGATATTGCTAATTTTCAACTCCAGTCCCTGGTTGGGCCTTTCTACACTACATTACCATTTTCAATATTATCTTACACATTTCACACAGTCAAAGCACACAATATTCTGTGGGTCTTGAAAGTCAGTGAAATCATCTAAAACGGCTGGCAGTGAAAAGAGTTTCCCTTGTTTTTATTTACGGAACTGTCTGACAAACTCCAGGGACTTTTTGCAAATGTATTCCAATGTGGTTTTAGCGCAAATGGCAAATAAATTAATCTGAATATGAATATAGTTTG